TCTACCACTGATAGTACATGGGGCCGGGATGCAGCTCGATCAGTTGATTCTCCCTCACGAGAAGCATATTTTTGAGGATATCCCTCGACAGACTCTGCTCTAAACTGCCGCGAGAAAATCATTCTTGAGTGGAAACACGAAATCACGAACAGGCTTGACGAGTTTGGTGTTCCTGTCAAACCCTTAGCGGTGTCTTTATGGTCGACTACCTTGACAAGGATAAGCGGAAGTACATTGGCAAGTCACCCAGATCAAACAAGGAAGCCTTAGAGAAATCTATGAAGGCTGATCATTCTCCACTCATGACTTCCATGTGCGTCGAATGATGGAAGACTCCTAATGTCAACGTTGATGTCGTCGGGGCCGAGCTTCGGGACCGTAAAAAGCGGGGTGTTTGAGTGAAGAAGGGCGACTCTTCGGTGGTGATGATGAGAAGATCTCGCACTCCAACCTGGACGAGGAGGTTGACCATCTTTTGGCCTAGGTTTGGTGCCAATGATAGTACTCACCTCAAGATCAAAGATAGTTTAAGGGTTACGTCAAATGATAACCTCGAAGCTTGTTGTCCTTCTTTTGCTGAGTATCTGAGCTACCACCAGCAACCCAAGTTCAATACGAAGTAAGAAGGATGACATGAGCGATGTGCCCTCGAGGATGGCCGGACTTTCCATAGGACGCAGTTGAGGCGTTGACAACATGCTCGACGATGCTTTCAAGGGTCTCGAACAACGAAACCTGACGTAAAAAACATACATATAACAGGCAGTAGCAATATCAACTCAAGTTAGACTTATGGTGAGCTCCTGAAGTAGACATTGTTGGGTTGTATAATCTGCCTCATCTGTTTGCTCGTGGTGGGGACTATCTTCATGCTTCTTCTAGTACTGAGGTTTTAAGTTGATACTTGGTACATACCTACATTCCTGAATAAATGGAATCAATTGCTTTTGGCTTCCCCAAGGGAAAATGATTTTCCCCTCTGGATCGAAGCCATTCATTCGCATCTGATCTGTAATGATTTCTGAGAATGGCCTAGCCCCAGCAAGGATGGATTATGCGAATGGGACCTTCCTCTAAAAACTGCCGAAGGTGTTGCTGACCTGACCCGAGTCTCCCTCAGCTTATGTACTCGGGCAGATATTTCGAGTCTATCCTGACAACCAGGCTCGCATAATAAAGCCAATATTGCAGGGCTAGCTTAGTGTTTGGGCCAGTCATTGGAACCTGGTTTTCAGCTCCTCAGCCAGATGCCATCCACGTGAGGATCTAAGCTGGTTGTGAGCCGCCACTGGGCGCCATCCGAGTGCGCTAATCAGCCCAATGTGACACAATGCACGTTCCATCGGCATCTCAGTGGGTGATGGTTAATGTTACATGTGGGATTGGTTGGACCCCAGGTTTTCGGTCATGTATAAAGCGCCTCGTCGTTCCCGTGTTGGACCCATCCAACTGCCCGTGTAAATAATTGTCTGTATTAGTTTGCGATTTGCTCCTGTTCCTAGTGAACATGATTTCCGAGGCCTTCTACCTCGCGGCAAAAACGCTCTCCGCAATCTACATCCTGACATGTGCCGTCCATCGCTTCTTGCCGAACCCCGCAGGCCGCCAACTGGGGCCGCTGACCCCATATCTGCTACCATGGGTGGCTTTTGCCCTCGTCCCCGTGTTTCTATATACGAGCAACAAGCATTTCTGGCGGAGAAGCAACCGTGTGCACAAGACTAAACCCGGAAATGTTTATCCTCACCGCGACCCTATTCTTGGTGTGGACTGGATGATAAGCGCGTCCAAAGGTCTCAAGGCATACAACCTGCTCGAAACCTGGGATGACCTGTTCGCTTCTATTGGCAATAGTTTCTGGCACCTGGCCTTCGGGAAGTGGATTTTGCTAACAAACGAGCCCGAGAACCTGAAGGTGTTGCTCTCCACCGGGTTCGAAAACTGGCCAATTGGTGGTGTGCGGCAAACGACGACAGTCATCACGCTTGGGCCGCATGCCATATTCTCGGTCAACGGGAAGGAATGGCAGCAAGGGAGGGCATTGATAAAACCAAGCTTCGTGAGGAATCAAGTTGCAGATCTAGAATGTCAGGATAGACATGTGGAGAGGTTCCTCGGCAAGATCCCGAGAGACGGTTCCAGCGTCGATCTCCAAAAGCTCCTCTACTTGATGACAATGGACTCAGCTACCGACTTCATGTGAGGCATACGACCTGAAAGGAAGACACGGTTTTGCGGACATGAGTAGATGTAACTAATACCATGTGCGCTAGGTTTGGATATTCGACAGAGATGCTTCTCAACCCAACAAAAGAGACCTCGGAGTTTACTCAAGCTTTCGATCATGCCCTCTACGTCTCTGCGAGTCGCGCCAGACTAGGATGGATATCCTACCTCGTCCCAGACAAGAAGCTCGACCACTCAGTTCGCACATGCCAAAGGTTTATTGACCGGTATGTGGCCAAAGCCTCGGCCGACGAGAAGCTCAAGGAACGACCATATCTGTTTCTTCACGAACTTCTGCAGTCTGGGGCGTCAATGGAACACATTCGCGATCAGCTCCTTGCGATGATCATCGGAGGGAGAGACACGAGCGCCAGTACGCTCAGTGCATTGTTCTGGACTCTGGCGCGGCGACCGGATATCGTGAAGAAGATCCAGGACGAGATCGCTGGTTTGGATGGCCAGAAGCCGACATGGGAGGACCTCAAAAGTTTCAGATACGTCAACATGGTCTTGAAAGAGAGTATGCATTTTATCCGAGCCCCTTTAGGCTTTGTTTGTCTTGATCGGTTATTTCTTATTAATCTCTTCTAGCACTGAGACTCTGGTCCCCGGTAGTCACGAATATGCGATGCGCAGCCAAAGATACAGTCCTTCCTAAGGGCGGCGGCGCCGATGGCCAGTCACCTCTGTTTATCCCCAAAGGAACGGCCGTTCGATGGAGTCTGCATAGTCTACATCGCCGCAAAGACATTTTTGGCGAAGACGCGCATGAGTTCCGACCTGAAAGATGGGAAACACTTAGGACTTCGTGAGTCGATCAACTTACCCCTAGTATTGGAATAGCGATTCTCGCTTGCTAACGTACTAGCCAGATGGGAGTATCTTCCATTTAGTGGTGGACCTAGGACATGCATAGGACAGCAGTTTGCCCTAACCCAGATGGCATACGTGGTCGTGAGGGTCTTTCAAACTTTTGAAACTGTAGAACCGAAGGACGAGCGCCCCATGTTGCATACCCTGAGCACCACAACTAGCCTTTTAAACGGCTGCCATGTTAGCTTCAAGGCTCGTTAGGTCTCACAGGCAGATAATGGTCGATTGTTCAACAATACGAAGTATTCATTCATTAAGGCTCCGCTTCTCTTGGTAAATCTCGAATGGGGCAGGTTAGGCGGAATTCCTAGGAACCTTTGGCTGACGAATGCCCAGACCAGGACATATTCGTGAGTGTCAACAATTAAAACTGAGACCTATTTGCTTTCGGTGGCCGCTTAACATTGCCATGAGGGTCGTTGCACAATGCGGCTAGTAACACAAGACACGGCGCCATGGCCTCTGCTCATTCCGAGGAAAAGTGAGGATGTACTGAGATTGGATTGCCAGCACGAGAGGAACTCAAAGTTCCCCCCGTCGGGAGGTGCTCTAAGCCTTCGGCGGATCTTTTGTGACCTGAGAGCCGTCTGAGGTTGATCTAAGGCAACACACAGAGCCTTGAGCCTAGTTGTGTGATTCGCCCTCGTCTCATATCCCGACAACTGCATCATCACTAGATAACACCATGCTCTCACATCTTGACGACGACGTGCCTCGAATCTAGGCTCTCCAACACAACCTCGCCGACCCCATCTCTGTATCAGATATCAAATAGTCCGATTACTGTCTACTCGACTCCTTGGCAAGGTCTTGGAATTCAAGCGAGATCTCTGCTGGCATTTCCCACCACAAGAAAGCCAGAAGAAAAGAAGAAAATCAGCATTTCTTAGCAGAGCGGCAAACCAACCCACACTCATTATTAACAAATCGCCTATCCTTATTCATCGGTGTCATCTGTATATCTGCCTACCACCTTCGCAATGGCTTCTGGGTATCCCAGCTCCGAAGAGCAGGCCGGATCTTACTTGCCTGATGCATTCGAGCCCGTCGAAAAGCACAACATGACGCCTCTCGAGGCCGGCATCATCGCAGGGACAGTCGTCGCATTCACCGTCCTTCTGTTCCTCATCTTCTACTGCCAACACATGGAGCAACGCCGCCGAGCCCAGCGCGGCAGACACGACCATCACGAGCAAGCCAACGAAAACCCGGCAAACTTGGAGCACGAGATGCAGATTCTAGGCACGGACGGCAACAAACACGGCGAGGCGGAGCCGCTTGGGAAGGCCTCTTGGTCGCTGCTTCGTTTGATCAAGAAGCAGTAACCCGGGCCAGGCGAGACGAAATGAGACGAAACGCTGGGAGAGGATGCGTGGAGCAACTGCGTCATCGAGCGGATCACAATACTACGAAGCGGCCGTGTTGCGCTGGGTCCAATGGTGGAAACTGGGGTTTTGAGATGACGACCTGGGCAGATTATCTTAGGTCGCTCACCATGAGCATGTGCGCGCGCTACTGATCTCTATTTCCCTCATTATTAGCTGCAATTTTTGTTTTGATCCCATCAGGATTGCGGAGGCAGGGACATCATTATTCTTTGCGCCTCCAGCCTTGAAGGGAGCAATATTATAGCACGGACAGTCTTATCAGGGGTTGCGACGATTGAGCAAGGAGGAGTGAGGTAGTATTAGCAACGAGAAATCGCGCAGAACGAATTGAATCATTATACACGGTCACCAATAACCGGTTCCCCCAGATCTGAAGGCTTGTCAGTATTTGCTTGCCATTCGACGTGAATGTTTGCCCATAGCGAACTTTGAGTTCACCAACAGAATGTGTTCATCACGTGACTTGGCGACCTTGCAAAGTACCCGTCCCGCTCGCTCGCACCGCAAACGCGCATGGTCAAGTACGTGCTGGACCGCCAACCTCCCACTTCTGTTTTCGCTTTTGCATCCCACCTACTTCTCGAAACCGTGTCTTGGGTAGCCACTTCTGCGCCGCCGTCATGGCTTCCCGGTCTCGATCTCGGTCTCGATCCCAAACTCCCTCACGGGGCCGTCGCCGCTCGTGGTCGCGTTCTCCAACACCTCGATCTGCTGATTCTCGATCCCCCGACAGGCGTCGCCGTTTTGATTCTCGGTCACCTTCGAGGCAGGGCAGCCGCACCCCGCCCCCTTCCCGACGCAACGGCAGACACAGAAGCGATAGCCGCAGTCGGAGTCGAGGCCGTGGAAGGAGCAATAGCAGGGGTAGCGAGGGCCCTCTAGCCAAAAGCACCAAGGTCTGTATATCTCGTCTCACGGCGCAGAATCATCTGGCACAAATCTCTAACCGACTGCCGGAAAACAGATCGTTGTAGAGAGACTCTCCAAGAACATCAACGAGAGCCACTTGCACGAAATCTTCGGAGAGTTCGGTCCGATCAAGGACCTCGATCTCCCCATCAACAGGACTTGTAAGCAGATACGCTCCTTTATGGAGTGGCAATTCGATCCATTGCTGATCGTCGGTGCTTTGCTGACCCGTCCCCCACATGCAGTCGGAACCAATCGAGGCACAGCCTACATTCTCTATGATTACGAAGGTGATGCGGAAGCCGCCATTGCTCATATGCACGAGGCTCAAGTCGACGGTGCTACCATCAACGTGTCCATTGTCTTACCACGAAGGAAGCTATCCCCGGCGCCTCCAATGGCGAGACGTGGTGCAAATATTGACCCCCGAGTCCCATTTGGAGCTGGACGTGGAGGAGGTGCTCACGGGAGTGGCGTTAATACAGGAAGTGGCGGAGGACGACGGCGTCACTCCCCACCGCCAGGCCGATATAATCATAGATCAGATGTTTACCGGCCATCATCGCGCTCACCTTCAAAATCGCAGATGGGAAGGCCCGGATCTTCCAGGGGTGGAGGAAGCCGGTATCGCAGCCGCTCCCGAAACTCTTTCTCTTCTAGGTCGAGGTCCCGGTCACCCACGTCCAGACGACGAGGCGGGGGCCGCCGCGACGTAGGTGAGAGCAGGCGTCGAAGTCGGAGCCCTAGCTACACTGGCTTTAGCGACCGGAGCCGATCCACGAGCCGCACTCGAGTTCGCTAAAAGCCTCGGTATCCCCGGATAATATGAGCTAATGACTTGCGATACTTGTTGCTTTTAAAATTACCTTGCAGGCGTTTAGGGGGGGGATAAGGCCACATCGGGAACATCGAGAAGCTAGTGAAATTATGAACAATAACTAATAGCCTTACATACCTAATCGTGGGGACCTCATTCGTGGCCAGTGCTTCAACCAGGGTCGGCAACGTCGTGGGACTTCACGACTCATGACCTCCATGCCCACCCTGACCACCATGACAGCCGTGGCGGCCATTTCTACACGCTGAATTGTGGCACCCATTGAAACGTGATTGACCGTGCAGGAGGGGTGCTAGCAAAGTGCCGTGACTCGTGAGCGGGCAATCCTGCGCGCCGGCTACGGTCATCTGGCCATTTGGGATGGGAGCTCCCATTGATAGATGATGCCACCGAGCACGCCCCCGTACCAATGCCTATCACAGTGACGAGCCACCGAGCAGGGGGCCCCTCCCTCATACCCAAAGGAGCGAGACGGTGCGAGGTACATAATCAATCATGAGGTGAGGGTCCCATCTATCCTAATCTACCTATAGCACATTGTGTCAGGCTAGAGGGACTTGTTGAGGGCAGTCCTTCCCTTTCCTTTTCTTCGGGGCATATTCGCCATCCAGGCCCACTCGCAACAGGCTACCTGCTTGTCTCGTCTCGACAGTGAGATCTCAGACGCCGCCCTTGCGGGTTCAACAGATCTCGTGCGGGCCGCAAAGCGGCCTGGCCGTACGACCACACTACCGTACCGTGATCCCGCGCTTACTGCTCCCGTGGCCATGTGAAATCCCCCAATCTTATCACGTCCTAAGCAGAGCCACACTGGCGGTCCTTTGATGTTTGACCTGGCGATGATGATGCTCAGTGCCACTTCCGCCGTGCTAAGCCCTCCCCGAGGCTACGGCTCGGTCCTGCCGGTCCTGGCCATGCCCCTTCCCCCCTCAGCCCAAGTTTGGTTACTCTGTTTGAGCAAGGTATGACAATAGATAGCTGTGTCTGTTCTCTTTCGACTTGATCCATCCCAGCATTACGCCAGCTGCGTCGTAAGGTCCAACCTCCACTTGGCACAACTGCCGATATCCATGAGGCTTTGGATGACTCTGATCCTCTGACGCCCGTAGGAGCTTCTCCTTTATTGGGAACTTGCCGAGCATTACGCCTCTGAGCTCCTCCGCCTTCTCCTCCTCCTCTTCCACAGTCTCACGTTAGACACCTCTGGGCTCGACCATCAACCCACAAGCAATCTGGCCAGCTACTCCAGCCAAGCCGGCCTAGTATTACTACTGTTCACTAATCACGATATGACCCGCCCGCCTGCCCCATTGCCATCATCGGTTTAGCCTCTTAATAACACCATCCCGGAGACTGGATGCAGAGCGTAGACCGAGTGGGCTAACAAGGCCCTCCCCTCCGCCATTATAGGGCTGCATATATGTCACACGCCCAAGCTGGTCCCCCGGCCATGCCTGCATCCCATTTGAGTGCCATCGTTCGACACCTACAACCAACTCGCCCAAACACTGCCTGTCTGAAAGTGGCAGCCTGCTCAATTCCTTCGGACCCCGCGTGCCAACCGATCCTATATATCAACTCAGGTGGGCTGGCTTCGGCGGACAGGGGGCGCCGAGAGGCGATTACGGGATTCCAGGGGACCGCCATATCAAAGTTCCCCGGCTTTTCCATGTAGATGTCCCACAGCGACGGGACGAGTCTAACCTGGTGTTGGAAGGGCTTCACAGTTAGGACCAGTACCAAAAGTATAAGACGCCAGACAGCCTCACCATCACAGCTCCCATTTTACTTCTGCTATACTCGGGCATCTAGACAGGAGCATCTCCGCTCTCCTCTTCAGGCATTCTCACCGAACCTGAAGGCCCCGAGCCCCTCCTTTTTGTGTTGCCCCTAAAAAAATTAATAAATAAAATCACCAACCCCCTTGGCCTCTATTATAACGAGAGACGCCGTTATGTCTCCCCAAGATGGCCCTAGACCTCTGCCTTCTCCCCCAGGCCCTCGTCCACCACCAAACCCGCCCGGACCGGCCCCTCCTCCGAGCCCTCCTCACTCCTACTCGGCCGACAGTCTTACATGAGGATCAGCCCGACATTTCACCTTGTAAGTCTCACTCGAAAGAGGAACCAGAATATCACCCTTTTTTTTTCTAACCAATAAATTTCCAAGGCCGAGCAGCAACCATCATCTGACTGCATGCCGGGTGCCGCATACAGCACCAAGCGGGGCACGGGACTTGTCTTTATCTTGAATTTGTTTGATAGATCACGCCTGAAGGGACAATGGACGCAATTCCCCGTCAGGTTATCGTCTCATTTTGTCATCCTAATACGGCATCCTGCAGATCCGGGGGGGTAGGGGGGAAGGCGGATACGGCGTATATCGGTTTTTTTTCTTGTTGTTGTTCACTACACGGAGGAGTTGGATCATATCATATCATCTCACAACACTAAGGCCTAATCCACGCCCGGTCACGAGCTCCCGCGCTGCGCACCGGTGTGCCTCGTCTCAGCTTGTTTTTTCTGCTCTCTCTCTATCTGTCTCTATCCGTAACTCACATGACTGTCCGCCGGCGCAAGCCTCCCGCTTAGTTGTAATATGGCCCCAGCCAGTGCCGCTGTGTCGTGTCGTGCAAGTCCCTTTTTCTCATTGCCTCTCTAGAGTCACCAGCTCGCCCGGCCTTCCCGCCAAGGGGATGGAAGCTTAGTCTGTCTTGCCCCCAGTCTCTTCTGCGGGCTTCCCGCCACCTGTTGACTTTGGGCCATCTCTCCTTCCTACGACGCCGGGTTTACTGGCGCCTCTATCACTGGCTTACGTTCCGGCCTCAGGATTGCCTCCGTTCACGTGGGATGATTCAAATCAACTAGACAAGCAGCATCCAAAAACCCCCCGGAATTAATTCCCTCTCTGTTCTTGGCCGGCTCTCTCTCCACAGGCCCGAGGTCTAGACCACCGCTCCGTCAGGCCCTTTTTTTAACACCCGTCCTGTTGCTTACCTATTATCCCCCCCGGCTTCATTTTTCTTACAAAAAGGCAACAAGAGACGAGAGATATGCATTCAACGCTCAATGAAGGAAGTTTAGTAAACTTGGCACCCATGCCTCTTGCCAGTCCCAACTTCCTTAACGAGAAACTCTACTCCATAAATCAAAACAAGGATTTCCTCTCCACAAACGTAGTGTTTCCTGAATCGAGAAACCAGAGCGTCTTCTCTAAGAAAGGGGCGGCCTTGGGGCTTACTTTTTACGTACGCCCCGTTGGGCGGCCCTCGGTTTCAACTGGTGTGGAGTTTCTCTTGGCCCGGGGCGGGGTTCTTTTAATCTGGCAATCTGGTTCACCGGTTTAAGTTATTGAAAATGGCACCAGTTGGAGTAAAGGGAACGAGGGCAAATGCCTTGCCCTGCCGATTCTCACAACCCCCGAGGGCACGGTAGCAGGGGTGTATCCATCGTGGGGCTCGATCGTTCTCTGATACTCGTCTGAAACGGCGTTCGTTGCCCGTCATGCCGTCAGCGAATCTCTGGGGGAAAGTGGCTATCGGGGCTCAAGTAAAGGGAACACGGCAACTTCAGAACTGTTGAGATATTAATTTTAAAAGGAAAAATATCCTCGGTCTACTTACCCCTCGTCGTGGCGGTTGTTGAGTGTGAGCCCCAGAAGGCCCTTGCAATCGTTCGTTCGTCTCTGAGCTGAGCCGGGTTGTTGGTTCCGGGCTAATGCACATCTGAAAACAGTTGCATAACAGTGTGGGTATCGCAGCGGGACGGGCTTGTTTTTCCCGGCTCTTTCGATCGTCGAGGCCAGTTGTTGAGGTCGGATTTCCGTAACGCGGGTCTCTGATCACGACCCACAGTTGCAATCTGGAGAGGGCTGGCGCATGGCCGCAGATGATATGACAGCTCGTCGAGCGGGTAGATGTCCTCTTCTGGTCTTTAAACCACTCGGGGACGTCTCCCGAGTTTCGTTATAGAGCCAAGACAATAATATTGGAACACCTTCGCTTTCGGTACCATAAATGGCCAGGGGGTCGAGTGATTGTCGGTAACTTGTATCGAACCACTTATCAAACGGGAGGTTCCGTTATTTAATCTCCCCTTCCAGAGATTAATCAAACAGAGTCTCCATTGTGAGTGGTAAAGGACGTCTACGTGTTGCGTTTCTGTGCCTAGCGCTCTTAGTCACCTGTTTGGGCTATGGTCGGAGGTTTTGTGAGAGCTTCGGCTGACAAGGCACTCGGAAGGGGCCAAGCTGCAGGACAGGACCAGTTGCATCCTTGTTCTCTATTCCTCATGCGTCACTAACTGATGTATAATGGGTGTTCCCTGATGTATAACTCAGTGGGGCAGTGAACTGTTATTGTTCCTACTTGTCAGTATCAAGTAGGGAATTTTGTCTGAATTGGATATGCCTATGTACATGAACAGAATAGGGAATGGTACTGTTGAGACGAGCACACCATGATGTTTCTGGATGCTTACCTTCAGTCAAATTGGTACTTCACGTTCATATTTCCGCATACATCCCTCTAAGGGTTTGACAGACATCATGTCAGTCGGGGACTTTTGGCTGCCATTTCCACAATCGGTGGGCCAAGGCACTAAGGTCTGGTCATAATGCGAGGAAATGCCGTATTAACGCAGGCTGGCAAAAGCTGTCTGGAGCCGACAGTTACTGGCTTTGGGATGTTTATCTAACAATGCGAATCCCACCGGCAACGAGCCGAGAGAAATCCATGTACACGATTCTCAGCTCAAGAGCCTCGCAAACAAAGAAGAGCTATCCTTGCGATTGAGTATCTGGAGATAATCCGTACAGTGATCAGTCAGCCTGGGTCTAAGTGAACCATGCAATGTAGCCCACATTGCGATAGACATGGGC